TAGAAAAAGAGAGAGGGATAGAGTGGGGGAGAGAAAGAGAAAGGAGAGAGACCGGTTTTAGGTTTTTTGTGTCATGGGCTCATGGAAAGAGTAAAAAACTAAAGTAGGAAGAGGATTTTTGTTTGACTTTGCCTCATGTGTGATTTTTCATAACTAAAACATAAGTGAATAAATTTATTTTTAATGGGGAAACCAGGTCCAATTGTTTTTCAAATGAAAAGCAAATTCTAACAATGAATAATATATATAGGTGAGTGAACGTTACAAAATTACAAAATTATACACATATACTTATATTTTATAATAAATATTATAAGTTTATGTAAATCTGCCTAGGCGCTAAGCCCTAGCCAGTCGCCCGACTAGCGCTTAGCGTTTTTTAGAACCTTGATTAAAACATGACATTTAATTTATGGTGCAGTTTCGATGCAGTTTTAAAAACCCAATACCAAAACCGCACCATAAATTAAATGTAATGTTTTAATTGGTTCTTTATTAGAGTCGGTGTATGGACTCAACTGAATCCAAATTGTTTCCCTAACCGTGATTCGATTTCAAAACCACAACAATTTCAAAACTGCAAAACCTAACCGTCAGCCTAGCTGCCTAGGTGCTAGGCCCCAGCCGGTCGCCCGACTAGCGCCTAGCGTTTTTTTAGAACCTTGATTAGAACATGACATTTAATTTATGGTACGGTTTTGGTTTCGGTGCAGTTTTAAAAACCTAATGCCAAAACCGCGCCATAAATTAAATGTAATGTTTTAATTGGTTCTTTATTAGAGTCTATACATTTAGTATGGACTCAACTGAATCCAAACCGTTTCCCTAACCGTGGTTCGATTTCAAAATTGCAACTATTTCAAAATTGTAAAACCTAATCGTCTGCCTAGCTGCCTAGGCGCTAGGTCCCAGTCTGCCGCCCGACTAGCGACTAGCGTTTTTTAAAGCCTTGATTAAAACATGACATTTAATTTATGGTGCGGTTTTAGTTTCGGTGCAGTTTTAAAAACTCAATCCAAAACCGCACCATAAATTAAATGTAATGTTGTAATTGGTTCTTTATTAGAGTCTAAACATTTAGTATGGACTCGACCGAATCCAAACCATTTCCCTAACCGTGGCTCGATTTCAAAACCGCAACCGTTTCAAAATTGCAAAACCTAACCTTTCGATGTGGTCCGATTTGATTCATGTTTCGGTTTGGATTTTCAGTTCCAAGTGCCTACCCCTAATGTTAGTCTGCATGAAGCCAACCGCTACCCAACCTCATTCACCATTACAGTCGGTTACTTGGTATGTGCCTAACATTTCGCACTTACGTTGTTTAGGTGCACAGAATATGCCAATAACATCGCCACTACATGCTAAAATAGGTCCTCAGAGAAGAATGACAATCTATGTCGATTATGATTCGTCATCAATTATTTGCTACTTAGAGCCCTTGATAAAAGATTTCTTTACCACATGTTTTGCAGATTGTCACTTCGTTGAAACAGTCTTCCTGTTGTTAGGGAGAGATAAGAACGCTAACATTCTTGAAGAATGCCATGAATTTTCGTGGATTGGTCCCACTATGTCTCATTTAGATCCTTGAACTACCCAGTCTGAAACTGAAGTGCGTCGTATTCTAGATATACAGAGCATTGCTTAGAGCATGCTGGATGCTTTTACTGATCTAGCAAAGGTGATGGGATCATATATACCAACTGTAAATGCACATGCAAGGATCGACATACCTATTGTATGCTGTAATATTGCCCTAGAAGTGACGAGCCATCCCCAAATGAGGGTCAGTCGCACCTCTCACGAGGCCCCGTACACTAGCAGCTAGCTAATCATCTGCTCCTACCTGATGCGTGGCAAATCCCTTGGTTCATAGGATTTGCAATACCGGGAGAGGAAAATGGCCAAAAAATTTACAGCTAGTGGGCTAGCTAAGAAGTATAAAAAAAGTTGGTTTTTGAAAAATGACTATACGTTAATCTTATAAGCAAAGCTCGTCCAATTATTCTACGTTCATCAACCTTTAATATGACAAATATATACATAAATAAGCAGAAAAAGGTTAACATACTATAAAACTTTTTTAGATAGATAAAAATCATGCATAAAATAATTCAAAAAACTGAAACATGCAATGAGTTGCTTTTTAAAATAATTAAAAGCACTATTAAAGTAAGTAAACATTGTCACAATTAACCATAAATGGATAGTATATGAAGTGTAAAATAGATTTGTAATTTAGGAAATAAATAGTATTAGTTAATGTAGTAAATAAATAAAAAAGATACATGGGCTAAAAGTGAGATGAATATGAAAATAAATGAACTATAGGGAATAATTGGTTTGTACCCACAAGAACTACCTAGGTTATAGCCCAGGGTAGCCTTGTACTTGGCTCCACCCTTGTGCACAAACTAGTGAAATTAGTATGAATCCGACCATTGCTTACTTAGCCGTTCCAACACATGAGGTTATTCTAGATTACAGTGACGTCCTAGACGAGAAAACCAGCCTCCCAAGAATCAAGAAATTTCGGTCCATTATTCAGTCTTGGATAAGGATTAGAATTAGAATGAGATGATAATCGGTGATGCCTTTCCATACACAGTAGTTACTGACATCATGCTTAACAATAACATTGAACCATGTTTTGTTGATGGACGTTGATGTAGAATTGACTGGTCAAACTGGAAACAAGCAATCCAGGTTGAACTTGATTTACTTACAAAACGCCAGGTGTTTGGACCTATAACTTCCACACCGCCACATGAAGCCCGTTGGCTACAAGTAGGTTTTCATGAGGAAACACAATGAGAAGAATGAAATAGTGTGATACCAAGCATGCCTCGTAGCTTAAGGTTTCTCTCAACGCCCTAAGGTTGATTATGAAAAGACGTATGCTCCCGTAATAGACCTCATTACATTCCGCTACTTTATCAGTTTGGTAGTTTCTGAAAAACTAAATATGCAACTTATGAAGGTGGTAACTGCATATCTCTACGGGGATCTTGATATGGAAATCTACATGAAAGTTCTAGAATGACTTACATTGACTAGATCAAATAGGTTTAGACCAGGGAACACCCTTTCAATTTGATTGAGGAGATCACTCTGTGGATTGAAACAATCCGAACGAATGTGGTATAATCGTCTGAGTGAATATTTGATAAGTCAGAGTTATTTGAACAATGAATTATGCAGATGTGTGTTTATTAAGAAGTCAAATTTTGAATTTGCAATAGTTTCTGTTTATGTCAACAACATGAATTCATTGGGATTCCTGAAAAGGTTGAGATTTGAAATCGAAATTCGAGATGAAAAATCTTGGAAAAAACTCGATTTTACCTTAGCTGGAGATTGAGCAAGGTTCAGATGGAATCCTAGTACATCAATTGAACTACATCTAGAAAGTTTTGCGATGTTTTAATGAGGATAAAGCGAAGCCTTCGAGTACTCCTATGGTCGTTCACACTCTAGATGCAAAACGAGATCATTTTCGTCCCAAAGAGGATGAGGAAAAGATTTTGGGGGCATGAAGTTCCATACTTAAGTGCAATTGGTGTTTTATTGTATTTGGCTCAATGCACTAGACCCGACATCTCATTTGTTGTGAATCTTTTCGCAAGATACATCAATGCTCCCACACGCAGACACTGTAATGGTATTAAAGACATTTTCCCCTACCTTAAGGGTACGATGAATTTTGGTTTGTTATACCCCTATGAATCCTCAAGATGAGCATTCGCCCCCTTGGTCCTTAGGTTGATTCTCGCCTTGTTGGTTATGTTGATGTAGGTTATTCATCTGACCCATACATGGCACGTTCTCAAACGGGTTATGTCTTTACTATTAGAGACATCGCAATTTCTTGGAGCTTTATCAAGCAATCGTTAGTTTCGATTTCTTTGAACCATGTTGAGATTCTTGCTTGCATAAAGCCTCATGTGAATGCTTTTGGCTGAGAGTAGTCGTGGAACATATTTGAAGTATGGATCAACTGAAGAAGGGATACATCAAGGGAGACAACACCAAACACATTGCGCTAGAGTTCTTTTATTCTCATCAGCCACAACAACATCAAAACATTAAAGTCAAGCAAATCTATTCCCAAGACAAATTGGTCGATCTCTTCATGAAGTCATTACCCAAGTCTACCTTTCAGAAGCTTGTCAAAGAAATCAGTATGCGTAAACTTTATGACCTGAATAGCTTGCAGTTCTCTTATTAGATTATGTCAAACTCAAGGGAGTGTCTAGAAGTATACTAACTTGATCTTAATGTACTATTTTTCAGTATGATTATGAGCATTTTACTCATTGGGTCTTTGCTACCTAACGAGGTTTTAATGAGCCACCCATCATGAGATGACCATACACTTATGAGGTTTACTACTTTCGTCCCGTATGGCGTTTGTTTTTAACATTATGCATATTTCTCACGTTTCTCCTTAGTCTATGAGTTTTTCACATACTTTAGTTTTTACCGTAGAGAGGTTTTGTGAGTTTTACTACCAATGCATACTTTCGTTAATTTGAGACCCACACTCATTCATTGTACCAACGACTTCATCAACTGAATCTACTTCATTCGTTAAAGACCCGTTAAAGACCCGATGTGATGTTTATTTGAGTATTTACACACTCAAGGGGGTGTGTTGTAGTCTTATTAAAATAGGAATGTGATCGTGTAAATTTTATCATATCTGAGATATCCTTGTGTGATTATACCATTTGTCTTATACTAGATATTATATTATTAGAGTTGTAATCCTATTGAGTAAGGAATTTACCTTTGCTACTATTATAAATAAAAACACAATTGGATGACATAACATACACCTCACAATTATACATATATTATTGTGCCGCCGCACACTCTCTTTGTCTTTTATATCATTTAGTAAATTAGGCCTCTAACCGTCGAAAATTATCAAGCGCTTTCTATCTCTTTCCCGATTTCCCTCCCTCCCAATTTTTTCCTATGTATTTGCATTTATACCTAACAGATGAATACAAACATTGACAATAAAAAAAGAGAAATAAAAGCAATTGAAAATACTGGAAAATTTCCCAATCAGAGGCGTAAGTTAGCTGGAACACGTAGGGGGTAGCCAGAAATTTCACTCCTCTCTTACAAGTTTCCAGAATATCGCAGAGATTAGGGTTTCTTTCTCCAACTTTCAAGACTCGCTCTCATTCTCTCTCTTCCCTGGTAAGATCTCAAAACCCTAATTTCCCCTTTTTATTTCTCCGTCTTCCATTTCGGAAAATGACTACTTTTTGATTTCTGCGAACTCTTTCACTGCCCACTCGAAAACAATAGATATAGAAAACCCTATACCTTCGAAAGAATGGATGAAGGCGACGGGGCTGATCAAATGGATCAGTTCCACCGCAACGAGGCGATCTCGGCGGTGGCCGACGATGGTTTTTTGGCCGAGGAGGACGACGATTATGAGGACCTTTACAACGACGTCAATGTCGGCGAGGGGTTTTATCAGTCTATGAGAAAGAACGAGGATGTAGGGTTTAGGAATGAGGTGGTGGAGGAGAAGAAAGTTGAGGTTGAGTCACCAGATGTTGCTCCGTCGGAATCTCAAGGTGGTCTGATACCCGGTAGTGGTGAGGAGACCGGTGGGGGTGGGGGTGATGGAGGGGTTAGAGGTTCTGGGTATAATAATCAGAATCTAGGGTTTAGAGGGAACGATATGGGTATGAAAGGGAGTGGTGGGTTGGGGCCCGTTGGGGGCGGGGGAGGAGGTGGGATTAGGGTTGAATTAGGGCAGGCATCGAGTAAGAAGAATGAGTTTGAGCAACAGAGTGGGAATAATAGTAGTGTTGGGGTGCAAGGGATTGTTGCTCAGCAGCCGCCACAACAATTGCAACAACAACATCAACCACATTCTCATCCGCAACAGCAACAGTTACATGGCCCTGCTGCTGGTGGGAATGTGGGGAATGAGGGCATGTTGAGGCAAGCTGGTAGTGTTGGAGGTGGTAATATGAATGGGATTGGTGGGAATAGTGGTCCGGGAGGAGGATTTAGTGGTGCCGCTGGTGGTGGAGCGGGGACAATATTGTTTGTGGGTGATTTGCATTGGTGGACTACTGATGCAGAGCTGGAGGCAGAGTTATGTAAGTATGGACCTGTTAAGGAAGTGAAGTTTTTCGATGAGAAAGCAAGTGGAAAGTCAAAAGGGTACTGTCAGGTTGAGTTTTATGATCCTAATTCTGCCACGGCCTGCAAGGAAGGGATGCATGGTCATGTGTTTAATGGGCGCCCATGCGTTGTTGCATTCGCATCACCATTTAGTGTTAAGAGAATGGGGGAGGCTCAAGTAAATAGGAACCAGCAAGTAACCCAAACTGCAGTGCCTCAAATTGGTGGGAGGAGGGGGTCCAATGAAGCCGGGAATAAAACTGGTGGGAGTAACATTTCAACTGGCGGGAATTATCAAGGTGGGGATAACAATAGAGGTTATGGGAGAGGTAACTGGGGGAGAGGTAATACTCAGGGTATGGGAAATAGAGGACCGGTTGGACCAAGGAATAGGGGTGCGATGAATGGAAGGGGTATAATGGGTAATGGTGGAAATGGGTTTGGGCAAGGTATTGGTGCAACCCCTCCTATGATGCACCCTCAGTCAATGATGGGTCAGGGTTTTGATCCAGCTTTTGGTGGACCAATGGGGAGAATGGGAAGTTATGGAGGCTTTCCTGGTGCTCCTACACCTCCTTTCTCAGGAATCTTGTCTTCATTTCCACCTGTGGGGAATGTTGGGCTACCTGGAGTGGCCCCTCATGTGAATCCTGCATTTTTTGGAAGAGGAATGCCCATGAATGGAATGGGAATGATGCCTACATCAGGTGTTGATGGGCCTAATATGGGGATGTGGTCTGACCCTAGTATGGGCGGATGGGCTGGTGAAGAGCATGGTGGTGGCAGAGCTGGGGAGTCTAGTTATGGCGAGGAAGCTGCTTCTGACCATCAATATGGTGAGGTTAGTCATGATAGAGGAGGTGCATGGCCAAATGCCATGAAGGAGAAAGATAGAGGTTCAGAGAGGGACTGGTCTGGATCTTCTGATAGAAGATATCGGGATGATAGGGATCAGGGATATGAGAGAGACGCGCCTAGAGAGAAGGAGGTGGCTCATGACCATGACTTCTCTGAAAGAAGGTATCGTGATGATGTTGATGTTAGTCGAGAACGGGACAGAGAGCGTGATAGGGGTCGAGAACGTTCTCGAGATCGTGATCGTGAACGTGATAAAAATCGTGAACGAGACCGTGACAGACACAGGGAAGACAGAGACAGATATGCTGATCATCATAAGTACAGAGACCGTGAGCAGGAACATGATGATGAATGGGAAAGGGGACGGTCATCCAGGCATAGTAAGGCACGTGTAACTCAAGAGGCTGACCGTCGGTCAAGATCAAGGGATGCTGATTATGGGAAGAGAAGGCGGCTTACTTCTGAGTAACTGCTCTACTTCTTACTATTCTTTACTTTCTATTGAGAAAGAAAGGCAATAGAGTAAAAAGAACTGCTGGCTTTTGGTTCGCCGTGCTTATTTGGATTCTCTTTCAAGTGGTGTTTTTGGGTCCTTAATTCATCCAATGGCTGCTCTCACGTCATTGCGTAAATGTTTTTTTATTGCTTCTGTCTAGCGGGAGCAGAGTTTAATTCTCATGTGGATAAGGTAAGCATTTAAAATTCAATTTAATTTTCATCTGTGCATGTATGTTTGAAAATTGTTCTATTGTCTGTTTTGGACGTGTCATACAAATATTTGTGTTGTGCTTTTATCATGCATGACCACTCTTATTCCGGTTTGGTTCTTGTTTGTTGTCTGTAGAGTCATAATTTGGAGCTTAGTTTATTTGTTTTGAGAGGTTTTTATGTCCTCTAATATCGTCATACTTTTTAGTTCTTACTGATGTTAAATCGGTTTTTTGACTTTGCCTAATTTGTAGAGCTGTGGTTTTTACAAATTATAGTCTCTTACGAGCATTTTTTAGCGTTTTCAATGTTACGTTTATTGCTATGTTATCATTTGGGCTTAACATGATGCCTTAAAATACTTTTACAATTAGAGTTTAAATGGTACAGATTTACACCAAGTTCTCAAGCATTTGTGATCTATTGTTCCATAAATATTTGTGCTTTTTCAAACCATGTTCCTGTATACACATTGCATCTATTTGTATGACACAGAAGCCCCTAAATGCCGTTTATCTGTCGAATTCGCTATGTAGTCGAAGTGAACAGTGGGATGTGGTTTTCCACAATGACCGCATTCGAAATTCTGCGTATATGGGTATATATATATACGGTTTGGTTAGAATGATTCCACTTGATTAATGACGTTATCTGGCTAGAGAACAGTACTCTAGATGTATAGGTATCCATGGTTTTTATTTAGTTTAGGTTCTATAAAATATTTGTAGCTCAAAACATTTTCAAACTTCCGTCTTTTTAATTATGTCTCTACAGTTTTCAGTATATTTAGTATACGTGTTAATGATCTTACTGTGTCTAAAATAATTATAGTATCAGTCGGGATGGTATTAACTGATGACTGTGACCTCTCAATGACTTTACAAATTTGAAGGTTGCTTAGCTTATTCGGATACACTAGTGATTTAAAGTCAAAGTAAAACAATCGTGCAGATAACAGTGACCTGGAAACATACTAAGGTAGTTCTAGACAGACAGCTACAGCAGTCATGTTACCCAGTCCTGGTGATTTGAAAATCCATCATTTAGTAGTCAGTGCAGTTTGTAATTTACTAGATTAGCTTTGGGAACCAATCTACACAACCTAATAGTTCTCTTGCTGTTGTGATCGAGCTGCCTTTGGGGGGGGGGGGGGGGGGCGGGGGGCGTCCTTGGATTTTTGATGATATGGTTGCTTTTTCCTAAACTTATATGTGTTTTGATTTTTACCGTTTACTGCACTCTCCATACAAGCGTCATTTAAGTTTACCACTGTCCCCAGTAAGTATGTTACTGTTTCCTGATGTGCCTATTACTGGCTTGATAATTGTAGAAATTTACTCTCACCTGTTTCACTGTCTAATAGTTTGAAGGACACTCTACCGTGAGAATTGAAGCTGTTAAGTTGAACTTGGAGTTTGACGACCTCGATAATCTACAACTGAAGAGACGATGCACGGTGTTTCGCTTTCACTACCTGGATATAGAGCCTGAACACTTTGCTTTTGGTTTTAGCTTTTGTTTATGTTTATGTTTGAGTAAATTAGAGCACTTGATCGAAAAGATTTGTGGATATTGTTATAACGGCATGAAATTGCTGGAGTCTATGTGGTAGATTGTTTCGGAACCTGATATTGACTGTTGTAATAGGATATGGCAGAGGATGTTGGTAATATGCCTTGTTTTGGTTGTATCATTTTGCCCCCATTTTTTGTTTTGGGTTTGTATACCTCCAATGCTGATTGTGCCCAATTTTTGTGAAGATGTAGAAAACTAACCATTCTTTTGTAGCAAGTGTTTTTAGACCCTTTAGAGTTAGAATTGTATAGTTGTCGCACGTCGGCATTGTGTACATAGAGAAAAGCAGGTGTTTGTTATCTTGTACATAGTGAATTCATTTTCGTATCTTCAAAGCTTATCTTAACTTCTGTTTGCATGGATTCAATTCTGAATTCTGAAGTTTATCGGTACCTCACCTTTCTCTTCTCCTGAATTGAACCCGCACTAGATGCATATGTCGTGAAATTATGGGTAGTTTATGTCGAACCCATAGAGGAACTATTGGACTTTATATTGTGAAATGGCCAGGTGATAGAAACCATAGGTATGGGTATGAACCCCACAAGGGCCACAACACACTTGAAAGTGTTACAAATCCATTTCGTTTTTCGACCAACAAGTTCATGTCACGTCAGCAGGTTAACAATTTATGTAACCAAGTTCACAAGATAGAGATAAGATTGAGTGTAAAAGGTAAAATGTGAGAGAATAAATTGTAGAGGATAAAGTGAGATTATGTGGAGAATAGAAGTGACAGGGTTAAAAATAAGCCTTTTCTATACACAGCTGAGATCGACCAAAAAGAAGCAGAGACTATTCAGATACTAGTTTTTTGGTGGGGTTGGAAGAACAGGCTCCCCCCACTCTAGTGAAGAAGTTGAAGTGAGAGTTGACCTTTAGCCATCCAAGTCCTCCCTCTCTCTCTCTCTCTCTCTCTCTCTCTCTCTCATCCAGAGGAAGCGAGGAGATGAGCTTCAACCCAATTGTCAAATCCAACCCAATTAGACAAAGTGGGCAATCAAAGCTCGTAAGACTTACATGGTCAACCAAATCATCATTTTTTTCTCAAAAAGAAAATAAATTAGACAAAGCGGATTACCAAATCATCCTGGGGTAGAAATCACGTACTCAATTTTTCTAAATTAGAATAATCCAAACTTAGGTACATATAGCGAAGCAAAAACTTCTAGTTAAACTTGACTGAGTACAAGTATTTATAAAATGAATTTTGAACTCTGCTATACACGTTACTATTCAATTGTATTGATATTTATTTTATAAATAAACAAACAAATTAAACAACAAGGCCTTGAGGACAGCCAATACAAAAGGAGTCGGACAATAAAGCCTATCTAACAAGCAGAGCTGCTGCCACTTGGTGTACTACGATCTAGTGATATTCTTCTTCACTTGTAAATGAGATGTCTTAGATTCGATACTAGCCAAATGCGAGTTTGAATTACATTATTGCTAGCTCATTGTGAGACTAAGCCCCACCTCTTCTCCCTTAGTGTAGATAATATCATTTGTTAAAATAAAAATAAATAAATAAAAAGTAGAGATGCTCTCCTAAGGTCCTCACGTGTTCAAGAATAAGGGGATCATAATTTTCAAAACCACAAAATCTTAATTTTTTTGGGGTGCTTTATAACTAACTAGGTTTGAATAATATTGATACAAGATTGGGTGAAATTGGATGTGTGAAGTTATTAGGCCGGTTTTATGCAATTAGATTAGCTCAGTTTAGATATTTGATGAGGAGAATAAGTTTTGCACATGAAAGAGATTTGACATGACGTGAGACCTTCTCTCTTCTTTTTTTTTGTTTTTTTTGTTTTTTTTGTTTTTGTTTTATTAATTAGTATTTTGTTTTGGTGTAACAAAAATTAAGTGATCCCTTAATCTACTATAAGATTAATTTGAGGACTCATACAAAAAAAAAAAAAAAACCTCTCATATCCTCAAAATAAGAATCTTAGGTGATCAGCACTGATCTAAGAAGGGCACAACATGAAGGAAACCAAACATAATCTAAATTAAGGGGGTGTGCTATCCACACACCCCTTTGTTAATTTACGCCCTCTGATCGTCATCAACTCATTCGATCCGACGGTCTAAAATTAAGAGTGAAAAATAAAAAAATATGTATAGATATCACATCCCTATATCAATAGAATGCCCATAACTAGTTGGAGCATCGGCAACAAAGTTTGCTTCTCTCCGTATCTATATATATTAATAATCTAATAAATCCGTAATTACAAAATAATTTTAGTGACAAGTAAAAGTAATATAAATAACAAGTAGGAGTTTACATACACAGACACTGTGACTGTCCTCAATTAAGAAAAACACTTTTAAGCAAAATAATTAGCAATCAAATTACAAAAACAACCCTAAAGCAAATGGCCAGCCACCAAGACCAGAGAGTCTAGCCTAATATAATCATCGGGGCCTACCCATGTTAGATCCGGGCCCACTCTTCCCCATCCCAACTCCACTCACACCCATCTGATGAAACCCACTCCCGCCGTACACGTGTCCCTGATGCTGCTGCTGCTGCTGTTGCTGCTGCCAGTATACCCCAGCTCCGCCACTGCTCCCACCTCCGCCCTCGTACCCAACCCCACCGCTCCCGTCCTTGTCACGCGCCGACACGCTGCTCTTCTCCCCTTCCATCTCCCTAAACCTCTGCAAATAAACCTTCAGAGGCTCCACGTACTCCTCGAACCCTAACGTCGTCATCGCCCACAACAAATCGTCGCCGTTGATCGTCTTCCTCTTCTCCCTCTGACACTTGTCAGAGGCCTCGCCCGTGATGAAGCTTATGAACTCCGACACGCACTCCTGCACCGTCTCCTTCGCGTCTTTCGAGATCTTCGCGTTCGCCGGCAGCGCCTTCTTCATGATCCGGCTCACGTTCGCTATAGGCAACAATCGGTCCTGTTCCCGTGGCGAGAGCTCGCTCTTCGTGTGCGCTCCTCCCGAGTCGTTGTCCGAGTCCGCCATTGATGAAACTTCTCAAGCTTTTTGCAGTAATTTTGGTACAAAATACTACAAGTTGACTTCACATACTGTAGTCGCCGATCAAAATCGCTAAAAAATGGAAATTTCGAGCTCCGAATCGAGCTAAAATCTCCAGGAATTGCAATTGACGCTTCGAATTTTTTAAAAAAATTGGATTTATCTTGCCTTCGAGAAATTGAATTCAGCGAGAAAAAAGACGGAGATTCCAGTAAAATCGGAGCTTTGGATTATGAGAAATTGGGATGAGAGAGAGAGAGAGAGAGAGAGAGAGAGAGAGAGGGGATGCGTTTGGGAGCGAATGCGTTGGGTCCGTTGGATCATGGAGTTAATAACGCCTATCCGGTGGTCACCTGCACGAATGTGGACCGTTGTCTGCCGATAAGTGTTGAGTGTACCCCGACGGCGTTAGGGGCGTCGGATGAGTTGAGGTGGTTCATCGGGACCGTTGATTTGGTATCCGGCACGTGGTTGGTCTGACCTGGATTTTCCTTTTTCAAAAGATATTCAACCTTTTGTGGAAACTTCTATTTTAATTTTTATTTCAACCAATAATTATTTATTTATTTTCTTACAACAAGCTTTGGTCAGCATCTTGTAATTTTTATTTCAACCAATAATTATTTATTTATTTTCTTACAGCAAGCTTTGGTCAGCATCTTGTAATAGATAGCTATTTATTAAATGTTTTAATATTAAAATCCTTATTTTCTTTTTTATTTAGATTCACTGTCTTCCGAAGTTTTTTATATTTCCATAAACATGGAAAGTCATGTGTGGACATGCATACATTTCTTTTTTTGAAGAACGATATTATCTACATTAAAGGATACGAAAGTGAACTAAGTCTCACGATAGACTAACAATAATATAATTCAACTTCGTTTTTGACGATAATCGAACTTAAAACTTCTCACTTACAAGTGAAGAGAAATACCACTAGACCGTAATATTAAATGACGTGGATGAAAAAAACGATGTGGATGTTCTCCACATTGTTTGTGGATGTTTCCTTTGTGTCTACACTCTTTCATAGCACATTACGGCAGTCACTTAACAAATTTTCCCATTAAGCACAATTTCAAGAATTTGGCAATAAGTCACATAACATAGCGAAATTTGATGATATTTTGTATAGAAATACCAAACGCTAAACTCTTTTTGTACAAATAAAAAATTTAGAACATTACACTTACCGAAATATTGATGATATGTTGTTACATTGTCAAGATATTGTCACCAATTTATTTAACCATATTTGAAATTAGGGCACGGCCGTTTTGAGCAAAACAAACTCAGCCCTACCTTATATGGAGCAGTACCGCTTGTCGTAGCCTATGGTCTCGATGCAAGGATTTGGTGTCAAGCCATTAAACTTCCTTCTGGGGAGCTTTGAGCTAGGGTGCTGCCAAGGGCGGCCCTAAGGTAGCACAAGTAGGCGCTCGTTTAGGGACCCCACTTCAGAGGGGACCCAAAAAATTTTATTTCCTGTAATGAACATATAAATACAAAAAAAGTAAGAAATATCATAATTTACTTGTTGGTGCAGTAGAAATGTTCAGCTTCCTTTTTCTTTGGGGTGTTCAATTCAAAACATGGAGTTGCCTTTTTAGTGACTAATTTTTCTTGTTTTTCAAATTTACTCCCAATCCATATGTCCAACTCTCAATCCATCTGTCCAAATGTATATAAAGTTACAAAACTCAAGTCCTTTGCAATTTTTTTTTCTTTCAACTTCCCAATCTTTCCATTCATATCGAATGTTTAAATTAACTATCACATGATCTTGAAGATTGTACTTTAGGGTAATCAAAACTTCAAATTTATATTTTTCTTTTCAATAATTCTTTATTCAATGGATTATATTAATATTTGATTCGTTAGTGTGATGTTGATTTAAAAAAAAAAATAAAAATAAAAAAACGCAAGAATCAAAATTGGTGTTTTTGAATTTATTATACTCGTCAATCAAGTTTTATTGTTATTTACTCTCTTGATCATCAAGTTTCATTGTTCTTCACTCTCAATTTTAGACTTTTGACTGCAAACATTTAGTACATTTGCGCTAAAAACATGAGACGTGTAATATTTAAGTAATTTTTGTATATTTAGTTTCTTTTGATATTGATTTTCAATGATATTTGATGTGGAAATACAATTTTTTATGTATTTAGCGAATTCTTTTTATACATCAATGTACAAAGAACCAAAGATCAAAGAACTTTAGAGCCCCACTTTGAAGGCTCGCCTAGGGCTCCCAAATTCTCAGGGCCGCCCTGGGTGCTGCTACGCGTGGAAGTGAACCAATCCAATTTTTGTCTTTGAGCGGAATGTTTATTGTTTTGCTTTAGTTAATGGGGCAACGCAACAAGAAGATAGCCTGGCTAGCGATACCAAGGATTGTTGGCAAGAAAATAGTTAATTAACACAACAAAGAAATTAAATTATAGGATTTTTTTTTTTTTTGTTGCAGCGATATTAAATGAGAAAGGATCCAAACTCAAAATTTTTGGTGCAAGAATAAATTTTTTTTAATCAAATAAACTACAAACCCCTTACTAAAGCGTGTGATTTTCAACTAATTTATTTATAAAACATGATTTGTTGCGTTTATTTTTGTCTCAATATCGTTAATTATTTATATTTATGACTTGAATTGCTTCCAACTTGGCACAGCAAATCCCCATTGACACGTCCAAGTCTAAGAAGCTTTGAGAAAGGAAAAGGACCATCGCCGGATCCTTTTCCTAGGGATCCCGTGATCTCATCCTTCATCGTATATCGTGCGGTCAGTTTTTGTTAAGTACTATTCATATTTAATTTTAAAATTTAAATTTTGAAATGATTTCTGACCATACGATGTACGACGAACGGATGAGATTACGAAATACCTAGGAAAAGAATCCGGCGAGGATCCTTTTCCTTTTAGAATTTGTCATTTTCGATCATGCCACTTATGATAATTTTGAAATTAAACTTAGTTTATGGTCCCAAACTCAAAACAAAACTGAATTTATATAACTCTAGTGCACATTATGAATAAACTAATGCTTAATTATTCATATTTTACTGAGAAAAGCATCAAATCTCCTCTGAAATGCAACAATAACTTATGTTTGTACCATATTATATCGACTTCGAAGTTATTGAGTATCGATCAACTAGGAAGCATCGATAATTTTTAGAGGGATTCCTGCTTTGATACACTCGCCGAAACGAACAAATCAACCTCACAAGAAGTGAGAGCCATAACACGTGGCCACCATGACATGTGACTACCCCCATGACTAATGAGAAACTTCCTTCCAATTTAGAGGCAATCACATCACGACAAGTGGCACCATCATATTAATGCATTCAATCCCCCATTGGCCAAAATCAAGAGCTTTCCACCAACTTTGCCTCTATAAAAGGGTAACTTCTACTCTATTCAAAAGATTAATTACATTTACTATTCAACACTATATTACCATAAACACCGTGCCCACGTGGCACCCTAAATATACTTTGTTAACTTAAACATTAGAGACTCTTAGGCCGGTATAACACCAGTGCCTTTTGATACGTGCTCATCTTCCTCGCAAGCTACTTCGTCTAGTCTACCTTTGACCGGAGCACTCTCGCGGAAGTCCTTACACCGCACTTTACATTGACTTGGAGTCCACCCAATTTTGTGCATCAACATTTGGCGTTGTTTGTGAGAAACGACTGATTCCTACTCTCACCAACTTGACCAAGCTAAGTCTCAATTCACACCCTTTCCTTTGACCAAGTACCTCTCTCCAAAATAGGGAGCGAAGAAGGCCAAAGTACATAGCAAAATATACCTCTCATGTGTAGTGCGAAGTAGAGGAAATAAAAAACCCAAGTTGACCTTCAAGCTAGAGTCAAAGAGCTTGATGCTCAAAATAACAAAATAGCAACCAAGAATGAGGTCCTCCAAGAACAATATGAGAAGTTGTACGACCCTTCAATACTTAAGGTGACTTATGCCTACTAAAGGAGAAGCCGTCTTTAGGGAGATACATGAGGGAGTTTGTGTAGACCGTGCTGGATCTAGGCCCTTCGCACACAAAGCATTTTGCCACAAATACTATTGGCCAACACTTCACCAAAATGCCATTAAAATCTCTCACTCTTGTGACAAGTGTTAGCGCTATGCGACTATTCATCATGCCCCTCCTAAGCCTCTCACTCCCATGGTTAGCCCTTGGCCTAGTAGGGTCTTGATTTGACCGTCCCAATGCCTTCAGGCAAAGCAAGGTCTGGTATGTGACTGTGGCAATGTACTACTTCATAAAGTGGGCTGAAGTAGAATCCTTGGCAACCATCACTGAGGCAAGGATAGAGGACTTCGTGAATGAACATCCTCAACAGATTTGGCATTCCTATTGCCATTGTCAAGGACAACGAGCACCAATTTGACGATAAGATGTCCAAGGCCTTTTGCTCTAAGTTCAGTATCAACTTATGTTTTGCCTCTCCAATTGATCCTTAGGCTACTTGGCAAATGGAAGCCATCAACATGATCACCAAGCGCCCCTTGATAACAAGCTAAGACAAAGCTAAGGATCAAGTCCATAGGTCATAGACCGAACTTCATATGAAACGTGTTCATCGCTATCATGACATTCTGCTTTGATAAGATAATGTAACGGGGTAATTGTTTCTTCACATAGCATGCATTATTAAACTAGAATGTCACATAGTGATAAACTCATTTCATACAAGTTCTCCTTGAATGGTACTGTTGAAATGAGCTTCTACTTCTACTTTCTACTTTCTAGAGGGGGTGTTGGTCACACACAGTGACCTACTATTAAGGCAACTGAACGTAGTTCCAAAATCTCCACATTAAAAACTCTTCTATACAACCTGCCGACTTTTGCCGACTTCACGACCCTCATATGACTTGGAATATACTTAATTTTGGTTTTTGTTGATAGTGTTTGGTTTAACCAAGTCTGCTCGCATATTTTCAACAAAGAGGCATTTGGCCCTTTCTATGGTGGCCGGAGGAATGCCTTATATTCGACATGTTGTTGTACTTCCATATAAAGGGGTTTGGAATTTGAATCCACGATTTCCAAATGTCGCAAAATAAAATGTATTACAGTCTAAGAAACAAGTTGCAATGAGTTTTATTCATTAGGAAACCCGAAACGATTTCAATATTTCTCTCAATTTTTTAGGTGATAGGTTTAAGTTCTATTGCCATAAATGACAAGTTCATGCCAAATTATTGACTGTCCTATATTGTTGGCCCACAAAAAACCAAGGTCACCTTAACAAGGTTATTCACACTATAAAATTTATCTCCATCCTTAACATGTAATTAGTCTAAAAAAATTTTGCACTCAATCCTTCTTTTTGTATATGAGTGTGTGTATCTATCTGTTTATAGTTTACATATTCGAATCTTAAATCTCGAAGGAAATATTTTTAACTACTTGAGACTTGAATTGAAACCCCTTAAAAATTTAATGTTTTTAACCCGTTAAATTATGAGTTAAATTAATAAACACATGTCGAATAATTAGAAGAAATCATGAACAGAGACACAAATTTAAAAATAGCAGATCCCTATTAACTAATCAACAAATGCTTAATGACGCAGGCTGTAATTATTTAAAATACTTTTTGAGGATGTAAGCTCGAGTTGATTCCTTAGCAAAAGTCGTTTTCTATACAAATAAAAAAAAGCCCAATTTACGACAAAATACAATTCCAACGTAGTGGAGAAAATAACACTTTGTATTTTAATATCATGGGACGGTGATATTAAACCCCCTAACACAATCATTAAAGCTTAAATACGCTTAAAATATCATTAACCGTCTCTAAACCCGATTAGTAAATCATGTGGTCCACTTCACAAGTGGAGCAATTTATCTTTGTCTAGAGGGTCTCTACAAACAAATGCATTTGCAAATGGAACTCCGAAGTCACTAGGAAACATCGTATTATTGGCGGTAATTTGTTTGAAGTCGCAAAATATTTTCAGTAACAACCGTCGGAACAAAATGTTTTTCGCAGTAAATACATTTCATCGAAACAAATTCCACGTCGATGATAATCAAATAGTTAAATGGTTTTTTATTTAGTCGCAGCTCTACTTGGCAATTATTCATATGCATGTGAGGATGTCCACTTAAAGTGATGCAGTACCAAGGGTCAGCTTTCTGTCCCAAATAGATGGGGAGGAGGATGCATAAGGGGCCATCAATGTCGAACGCATTTAGGGAGTTCGAACGAGAGACCTCTTCCAATAGAGCAATAACGAGTTGGCGAGCCTGAACATAATGAGTTGTGAATCCACGGCCAATTCTAGCCCACGTTATCCTACTTCCGTGACACATTTTATTTCACGCTATTAATCATTGTTCGAGTAAATAAATACTCAACTTACCAATTGCAAACAACAGTAAATTGGCGCTAAATCGCTCTCAAACTTGTAATCTTGTTTCAACTTCAATTTGGGATGACACGAGAAGAAAACTAGAGGTACGAGACTAGGGAAGCATAAGAACATGAGTTTGGCAGAAAAACAAACGTGCTTGGCGGAATGACCAAAGTGATAAATAATTAAGGAAAGGCGCCACGACAGTAAATAGAGCCAGAATAGAAGTCTAAATTAAACCCCAGGAAAAGAAAAAGAAATCACAGAAGTCACCTGTCAGGTGGATATCATATATGATTAGTGGTCACTGGTCAGCCAGTTGATCCAAGACATTGAGAAACAGTCATGAGCTCAACCAAAAAATGACCGGACATACCTGCAGATTCGGCACTGAAGGACTTTAATCAGTTTGGCTCTCACTCCTGCATAGATGTAATCAGTCCAACATAGAACAAATATCGAGCATTAACATCCAAAAATTGGGGCCACAGTCATAAATGCAGAAAATCGGAGAAACTCAAATTATCAAGCAAAAAGTTCGGTTATATTAGACAGTAAAACTCCTATGGATTATGTGAACGTGTACATAACAAGCTGCAATCCTGCAGCACAACTTAATTTAACATCCGCTGGTTTAACATTTAAATTTACTAGTTTACTTGCCAGCAAGCAGAGCACTAACGATGACAGACTAAGTAGTACATGCAGCATTAACATTAAGTCAAAAAAGCAAAAAACAAAGGGACATAAATAGCTATTACTATGTCCATGCAGTCGCATTCCCTCTCATTGGTCAGACTTCGACCTCCTCTTCCTTAGCAGTCCGGGTTTCGTCTTTCTCTGGATCCCCTTCTTCTTCGTCTTCTTCATCTGCCTCATCAGCTAATTTAGTAAGCTCTTCCTGGATCATGAGCTTTATGGCTGACTTTCTTAAGCTGAGATCTGCATGGAATTGCCCGGCTGAAAAGAAAATCGGCAGGTAAGAAGGCAACCAACTAAGAATTCAAGAAGATGAGTGTTGATTTGATCAAGCATTAAGTTTCAAAACGAAAACTAATGATTTCTTCAATCATACAGCAGATGAACATTCACAATTTTTCTAACCAATTTACTGGATGCATCAATCATGAATAAATATAGAGAAATTTCTCTGAAAGGAGACCTTTTAAAAGTTGAGACCAAATTAGGACATTCGGATATCACGAATATTCAAAAGGAAATGAAGGCCTTTAAAATTTAAAGAAAACAATAGAAACGAGAGTGCCTACCAAGTAGCTTCAGAATGTCGGTGAAAGTAGCCTGAAGAATAAAGAAAACACAACTTGTAAGTGTGTGAGAACCGTCACTTACCACATAGTGGGGTAAGCATAAACAAAGGAATATAATGGTCTCAGATACTTCTCGTTTTGATTGCTGATCTGTATAATGTTCTCACTTCTCACTGTTCTCAGCATATCGTATGCAAACACCCTTTACAACCATATTTACCAGTTCATTCTACAACTGGTACTATAAGCTTACCGTATTGAAGTCAACTTCTTTGAGAATTTGACATATTGCATCTCTCAAATTGTCATCAGTTGGCCTCAATTTTCCCTCCTTGGTCTTGTCCTTCCCTTTAGCAACTTTTTTCCCTTCAAATAAGCAATAGTATTTAGTACTATTGACTAGGATGAAACGATCGACAAGCTCCAATTCTTGCCAAAAAAATCCAAAAGAGTCGGTTGTTTATGAACAATATGTATTAGACAACATTATCAAATCATGCAAAAAAATTGACCAGATAAATCACTGTCCCTCAATACTTAAACAAAACGAGGAGACAACAAAGATTTACAAGTACTTCCAAAATAGTTATTAAAGAAAAATGTCTATAATCAAGATGGTGATGATGGTAATGGAAGAAGAGATCTCAGTTTATACCAGTTTTTTCCGTTGAGGCAGATTTTTTTGGAGTAGATTCTTTGGACACCTTCTCATTTTTCTTCTTCCTTGACGATGCCTTTGGACTTGTATCACTGTCATCATCAACTGGAGTGCGTTTTGTTGATGATTTCTTTAGTCTTTTACTAGGTGGCGGAGTAGATTTAACAGAAACTCTGGATTTTTTGGTTTTAACTTTTTCAGAAGATTCCTTCTTTCTGGATGATGATTTTGATCGTGGCTTCTTTTTTATCGCTTCTGCCTCAGAATCATCGGAAGAATTATGTTTCTCCTCACTTTCTGAACGCTCAGGCATCACATCCTCTGACTTCTCTGGTACACCATTTTCATTTTCGTCCTCAGCATTTCTTCTTCTTCTTCTTCGGCTTTCACATCTTCCTCTGACTCATCTTCTGTATCTGGTGTACTCTTGTCCTCCATTTTTGAATCATCATCATTCTTTCTATGATTCTGGAAAATTACAGGACAAAAATTATTTTTTTTAAAAATAAATAAGATAAAAAAACATTAAGTGGCACAAAGCCCTCTAAACAGAATGAACAGCAAAAATCCAATGCAGGTTGCATGCATATTTCTTCTCTAGATAAATTCTTATAGAACATTTTATTTTTCATGGAATTGCAGTAAAATTCACAATCAGTACAAACTTCGGCAACAGTGCATATAAGTGCTCTTATCTTAAGATCCACCAATGCTACGTAAAGAGATGGTCCATGGAATAGTGCCCCATACTATACACACTGAAAAGAATTAAGAAGCCACATTCCATACACACAGGCCCATGGAATAGTGCACCCGTCAGACACTCTAGTAAGTTTGACAAGGGAACATATAACATTCATTAGAAGACACAAGTTTAACTAAAATGGCAAGACAAAGTATTGTCCAAAGTGCAAAATTTATACACACTTAATGAATATAAGAACATGACCAAATTTAAAGAAATATATACAAATAAAAAGAATACCAACTTCTGCTGAAGTAGAACCTTTTACAGTTACAGCAAGATGAAAAAAAAAATTTATTCGCCAATTGGGCTATTATACTAATGCACAAGTCAGAACTTTATATACACAGGATGCGAAAATAACACCTTTGCTGAGCGCTTTGAGCTTGTGCCCCCAGATGTTGAAGGACTTCCTTTAGTTGCCCTCTTGCGCTTGTTGCCCTTAGTTGGCTGACATTGAAACAGGAAATGAAAAGTATTAACATACTGCTCTAGAAAACAATTCTCTCCGAGGGAGAAAAATTGCAAGTAAACAAACCGTCTCTTTTTCTGCGAGGAGCACATCAGTTGTAGCATGAGGAGCCACCAAAAATTCAATGAGCCTTGCAACTATATCCTCCTGCATTTGCATTTTCCAGCTCATTTAAGCAACTGTCCTCCCAACTTTGTCAATAACAACATTAGTTTTTCAAATTAGGCCAAAAGTTCATTTCTGAGATGCCAACAAAACCAGTGTTTCAGATAATGCCATGATGTATCAACCCTTTCTTTTTACTAGAGAAAGCAAAATCGGATAAACTCTTGCATCTAAAGGTCCTACTCACTGTTAAATTATCAATTTTTGTGGATTACGAGAGCAGACAATTATGTCTGAATTGAACAACGTGTGTAATGTAAGGTAATCAACCATCAAGAAACATCCCCACTGGGGAGAAAGTTACTTTAGTCAGTTAGTGAACAAGTAATAGATTCAACACAACAAATATAAAGATTTAGGAACAAATTTCCAAACCAAAAAGGTAGCAGCAGCAATAGAAAGTTAGCAAACCTTCCTAGTAGTAGCTTTGGAAACTGATACGTTGAGCAGATCACAGAAGTCCAGTAACTTCTCTTTATTACACTTGTCAAATTTTTCTTTTACTTTAGCGTTTTGCTTGTCCTGCAACAATGTCAAATTTTAGTGATAACCACCCTCAAAGCACTAGAACATGTCAAACGCATGCAGCAAAGATAATTTATTTATTCATTATGCATCTTTTACCTCATTTCCACGCCACACAAAACCAGAAAATCTGGATATATTACTCTTGACCTCAAGTGCCTGCAAAATTAAGGAAAGCCACGTAGACACAACATTTCAGACTACATATGAAGAATACTAGCTTTAGAATCTCCCAAGAGATTTTATGCATGTAGTTTAATTTTGCAGCACGTACATTCTTGTCACCAAGTTGGGTGAGGAAAAAATGATCGAAAATTAAAAATGGGAATTGTTATTGGCACTACCAAAATCTTATTTTGCACTCCAAAAAATAATTAGAAAGAAAAATACACTTGAGACGATTGCAGAACGAGATTTTTGGAGTGCTAATAACAGATCCCTAAAAAATAAGGAGTAAGCAGTAAATGAATTACCTTTCCTCTCCTTCCAAAAAGAATAGTATGAAGTAATTTTATGTTATCATCGATTTTCCTTCTTGACAACTTGAAAGCCACTGAACAATTTGAACAATACAAACATCAACCATTTGCATTGCCATGATGAATATAGTCCTTAAACAACTCCCTAGTTGCAAGATCAGGTTGTTACGAATCAAAGGGACAATAATTTGGACAATATTAGTCTCGTAATGTAAAAAATTGAAAGGATGGGGAGGAGAATACCTAAATTCTCAGTAAATAATCTATTTGAAAATATACAATACATCACATAGAGAGTTCGATATAGATTTCTGTACGCAATTGGTAAACAGGAAAAACATGACAAAAAGTATTAATTGCCAAAATTGAACAAACAATCTCCATAATTTATAAATGAAAGTATTAAGTGCAGTTGAATGCTCGTCAAGTCTTCGTACTCTACACTTAGCCTAACTTTTCATATACATGATACGGACAACCAGATACACAACAAGAAGCAAAAAGTGGAAGTACTGTTTTGTGCTTTTTGGTTCATGTAAATTGTTGGTGGATAAGAAAAAGCTGGACTCATGAAAATGAAACTCAAGACAGAAACTCCCATCACAGTGATAGGGTTCTAGGAGCCACCTTAGGAATCACACCTAGAGGTAGGTTACATCACACAATCTAAAGAGAAACATATGCCGCTCACTCACTGGAAAGGTCTCTAAATTCATTAGTTTCATTGAAAGAAAAAGCTCTCCCAAGCCTTTTATACAGTTCTACTAAGTTGGATACTACACATAATTCATGTTGAACCCATGATATGTAAACCAATATCAATTACTATATGTATGAATCCAAGACACCACACTAACTCTGAACCAACATTAGTTACAATAGGACTTCATATTACCCAATATGTGAGGTACAGATGTAAAAGACTCTTCCCTGTTGCAATAAAAACCCTAAAACAGTAGCTCATATTCACCGACTTGACCAAACCAACCACACAAGACCCCAGGTAGGAATAACATCATGATGTTCCAAAATAAGGGTTTGTGCATTTGAGCGCTCCTTGTCACGCTTTAGGTAAACTTTTAAAGGGCAACCACTTATATCCTTCCAGCTACATTACTACCAGATCCCTCGGACAACATACAGAATGTGAAAATATCTTCCAAAACAAAAGTGACCACTGAAAGCTTTGACCCCTACACAGCCCTATGAAGCTAAAAATATGTTGATGTAGTTACTACTGATAGGAGTTTAAAATTAGAAAAGAATATGCAAGTGGATTACTGGATTGATACGACGTTCATTTAAAAGAAATTAAAATGTACAAAACTATAACAGAGAGAACCAAAGTGAGGTTCATATAAAAAATAAGAGAATAATAGGGCAGGAACAGTACCATTAGGTATGTCTTTCAATGGTGTACCGCGTCCCTACAATATTTAAGGTAAAACTATAAACAAAATAATACTCGGTAATACATAACCTGAAATTGATATCTATAGAACAGAAAGCAAATAAAAAGAAGACCTTCTCTATATGGAATTCCTTGGCATTATCTTTTTCAATAGCTTCCACCAGCCTTTCAACTGATTTCCGCTCACGAACAGGCCGATCTGTAGCTGGAGTTCTTGGCTCAGGCTCCTTCTTTTCAGCAACTTTCTTTTTCTTCTCTATGGTTTTCTCTGTACTCTTTCCTTTTGCACGCTTCCTTGGCCCTTTCTCCACCTTAGCTTCTTCTTCCTTCTCTTCTTCCATCTCTTCTTCCTTATCTTCTACTATCTCTTCTTTCTCTTCTTCCTTCTCTTCAACCTTCACTTTTTCCTTCTCTTCCTCCACCGAAAGCCCATCAACCTTCTCTTCTTCCACTTCAATTTCCTTCTTTTCTTCAGTCTCCTCTTTTTCATTTGGAGCAGTTTCTTCTTCCTTTTCCTCAACTTTGAGTTCCTCTATTCCTTCTTTCACCTTTTCACCTTTGCCTCCATCAGCCTCTAGGTCTTTGTCCATTTTCTCAACTTGTGCATTCTCGTCATCTTTTTTAACTTCATCTGGATCAGTTTCCTCTTTCAATTCCTCAAGTTTGGGTACCTCAGCTTTGTCTTTTACTTTTTCATCTTTGCTTCCATTGGTCTCTTGGTCTCCATCCATTTTCTCCACTTCATCGATCTCATCACCTTTCTTATCTACGTCCATTTCTTTTACCTCAACCTTTCCATCCCCTTTTTTCTCAGTCGCATCTCTGCTGGTCTTCTCTAACTGGCTAGTCCCATTTGCCACTATTTCAGTGTCATTGGCCACCATGTCTTCCTCACCCATGATCAATTAACCAAAAACAGATTACCTTCGTTGCAAAGTTGACTAAGGAAACTCCTGAAACAAATGTATATCCATTTAGGGATGCATAACGTATCATGCAAAAGAACGCTGATAGAAATTTAACGGTTACCACAACAGTTTCAAACAAATATAATGTCAACAGTTTGGAAATTTCAAACAAAATTCATCAAGTTTGAAAATGCGGCAACTACAGCTTTCGCTCTAACAAATAATAATCCAAAGAACAACAATAGAATCTAGGAGAAACATGCAATGGCAATTACAAAAATTACAGTCCCCAGAAAACTGTAATCCCTAACTAAATCTGGACCAAGTAGCCCAACAGGCAAATTTTAAATCTTTAGCTTCTACACTGCTTTAACTAACTCAAAAACCTCAGCTTTTCACGAAACGGCGTTAATAGAACAAAAAAATAATCAAAGAAATTATCTTCTTTTTTTTTCAGCTTTCTCGGCAACCAAACAGAACCAAGAAAAAAAATCCAATTATGCACGGTAACCAGTAAAAATAAAGCAAAATTCACAACGTTTGAGGGCTGCAACAACCAGTTGGAAACCCTAAGCTTGCACCTCAATTATCCCTAACTACACCGCCAAAGAGAACAAAATTTACAGAAAAAAAAAAAAAGCAGAAGAACAAACAATATTTGGTAATAATAAAATTGATTAGGGTATGAAACTTACAGAGATTTGAGTTCGTGTTGGTTGATTTGGAGCTCAGAAAAGTCTTCGAGTCCCACTCTCAGTGCTTCTCTCTCTTACACATTGTCGTTATTATTATGCTTCGAATTTCTATTTTTATTTTTGTTTTCTTAATTTTATTTAGGATGTGGATATATATATCTCATGTCTTAAGTCATCTTATTATTATGATGGATATATCTCAGGTCTTAAGTCATCTCAATGGTTGAGTTAAAAGCTAAATATTTTATCCCGAAAAATTTAGCTTTTTGCTTATAAATAGTTTTTCTGCTCTAACCGTTCTAGCCTAAAATTTTAGTTCGAGATTATTAAATAATGAACTTAGACTATATTTTTTGGTTAAATTAAATTTTTTTTTTAAAAAATAAATATGTAGATTATCGTAAATTAATTTTATGAATATTTTAATTTAAAAAAATTTAAATTGTGATAAATATTGGATGGAGTCCAGATTTCTGGGCTAAATTTTGGAGGGAATTTGACATTGGTTTAGCATTTAGCCCAAATTTTCGCCTTGGTTGGAGTGGGTTTGGAGGGAAATTTTAGAAAGTAATTTGGCTTTTAGCTCATCATTAAAGTTGGCCTTGGTTTCTCTTTTTTTTTAAAAAAAAATAGAGACATCATCTTAACCATTAGATTTGGTTTTAATGAAATTTTGTGGTTAAAATTAAATCACATACCACAGAATCTCAACTATTAAAGTTAAATCTAACTCCCTTCCTCTGTATATATATATAGTCCGGACTTCAAAGCCGGATTCAAAATGCAGTTAAATGCCACGTCAGTTTTGAGTTGCAGATCGAGCTCCCACGGTCCAGATCTTGTTTAGCATGGCACCTAGCGAATCGACGGCCACTGGTTGACATTCGTTCTTTTTTTATTTTTTATCTTTGAATAAAAGGAACAGTATTTTATTGATAAACGTGGTTTGGTATGACGTCAACACTAACTTCCGCCCCCTCAGTTTTTTTTGTCAATTTTTAATTTAAAAAAAATAAATTAGCTGATTACTTTGTCATTACAATTAAGAAGACTTTCAGAGAGATTTCAATTTTTAATTTAAAAAAAAAATAAATTAGGTGGTTACTTTGTCACGATAGTCGAAAAGACTCATAGAGAGATTTCAACATCTCTTGATTACAATCGTATGATTCACTAACGACAAAAATCGAACCCAAGTGAAATACAAGCTTGGATTTATCTCCAACCACTAAGCTACTCCATAATGATACATGAGAGCATCTTCTCTTCCGAGTATCAACGTCGATGCCCCAATCAAAACAAGTTTCGTATCAAAATAAATCGAAATAATTTTTTGAATAAAGTTTTGCTCAAATTGAATCTCTTCTTTGGGTTTCTCGTTAATTTTTTATTTTCTAAAATTCTTTGATTAATATTTGATCGTTGCGAGCGATGTCAAAGGACGCGTCTATTAACGTAATGGCAGAAATAGTTATGTCCGTCCATAGCTATTTCTGCCATTACAATTTTTCATGCTAGTCATCGATTTGCAACCAAAATGTTCAGTCATACGATCTCATCTTCCTTTCGATCAAGTAATAACATAAAACTGAGACATAACCAAATTCGCCTCGATCAAGCAAATCAACACAATGTTTCCGACTCCATGCATTGCTCGCTTCAAAGTCCCCACCATGTCGCAAAACTAAATACTTACAGCGCCATAATATAAGGCCGTTGATGTCAAGGATCCGGACAAACTGTAATGACTAAACAGGTCAGAAAATCGGGCTCAAAGCTCCCACGGCTTAATTACGAGCATTCTTGCTCTTCAAATAATCCACATACATTCTCTTTCTCACTGTACTGATGTGAAGAAATCCATCTGCATCCTTATTTTCCCACTCAGTGGGAAAAGGCTTTGTTGTTGTTGCTGTTGTTGATTGCAGGCATCAAGGCACCTGTTAAAATTTGAAGAAATATTACAGCCGCTGCTTTGAGAGGAAGAGATTATTATGCCTAAAACCAAAATGAGTCGCAGCTCATCTGTGGGAGGTTTAGCGTTCTTGACAATGAGAAATACATGCTTTTTTCGGCTGAGCTTAATCCTGCTGTCGAACAAAAAGAACGAATTCTCCAAGAGGCATACCAGCAAGAACCAAGTATCTGCAATCAGAGAAACTGGGTAGCCAATGTAACTATGCGAGAACTCCTTCGTCTGAGATAAGCTATGAACCAAAATCAAAATGGAGTTTGCCTTTGCAGTAGTAAGTCTGTTTTCCTTTCTGTATGCAAATCTCATATACTGACATGGTCCATGAATATTAATTTATAGGAAGCCTTTGTTGTGCGGGTTACTAATTCAAGCAAACCCTGAAAATCACGATCATTCATAACCACTCCTAGAATGTACTCATAGTTCTCCCCCCAACGGTTTTGATAAAAGTTCTAACGTTAAACTATGCTACATCCTCTTCGTATGCGCTAAATTGCATCTATAATTTAAAATGCACACTATAACATAAAAGCGTAACAGCGTTGGAGTTTCCGTAAATGTTTTTTTTCTTTTACATAAGAACATCTGTCTTCTTTTTTCTCCCTAAAGGACTTCCCACAATATCAAAACAAAAAGCTGAAAACCGAAAAGAGAACAACATTATTCCATGGTAGCAATAAAAACTGAGATAATTAAAGCAAAAGGGATTTCGCAACTAACTTCTTCATGTCAATGTCAGGCATGTCACTCCCTGCAGCCTTCTCCACAGTCACCTGCATGGGGCTGAAATTATAACAGAGTATATACACCGAGTGCCTAGGAAGTAAACCTATTTGGTGCAGTGAAATTCTCACTGGTATCCAATCTGGCCTTGTGTTCCTCAAATGACAAACATCTAAACGAAGACGATGTCGACATTGTTCTCACCTCCAAAGCCACCTGAACATGTATCAAAAGCATAAGCGAAAGAGAAACAATTGTATTCCATAGTAGCAATACAAGCCAAGAAAATCAAAGCACAAGATACATGGCTACTAACTTCATCTTGGTCATGGAAGGGATTTGACTCCTTGAAACCTCCTTCACAATAACATGAATTAAGACTCAAACTCGAACAGAGTATATCCACTGAATTCATAGCAAGTAAACATAATTTACTCGGTGAAATGATTACCTCCTCCTTGACTCCGACATTCCACATGTCCAACAAACCAACTGGCCATTTGCACCGATCCAACCTGGGTCTTTTCCCTCTCTTTTTTGACGGACTTCTTAACTTGTTTCAAAGGCATAGATGAAAACGGAACAATCATTTTCCGTTACAGCAATACCAGTCAAGAAAACCTAAACTACAAGGGTACAATAATATATAAGAGACTTGTACTCCGTTTCAAATTACATAAGATAATACATTGGTCTTTAAGATGATAAGAGATAAAGGTTTAGCATGCGTTTGGGTCTTTGTAGAACAATCATCACAAGCAGACTAGTTTGAACAACCTCACCATCATATTTACTTGCACTTTTTACTACTTGTTCTTAGATGATGCTGCACTTGAGGAGTTTGTTCATGAACCTAATCCCAATAACGTCGAAGATAGTTGACAGTTATGAGTTCAAAGAAACACTCAAATTCTATTACTTTGGGAAACAGCGTACTGACTACTGATCAAATTTTGAGCTAAATATGTGGGCTGAAAGATATGAACACTTATGAAGTCTCTTTCGGTTTTTTTCTTCCTACCGCGTATTGGCATTCGCTGATTTTTATCTTTTCAATTCCAATGTCGTCTCTTTTACATAATTAATTGTCTTGCAATTCTAGCAGTGATCATATTCAAAGATTCAACAATTCACCACCAAACTGGGATGCTGGAACCTGGAGTGGTATGAATTCAGGTGTTTGAGATAAAATAGAATCTGAAAAATGGCTATCGTAGTTACAACGCTCTTCGGAGTTCTGTTGAGTTGCGAATTTAGGCCGGCCTTCATGACCTACGTATCAAATCTAGACAGTTTGAGTGTCAGCAACTCCCATATTTTGTGCATCATGTGAAAGAAGTCTTCTAAAAGACCCTCAATTATCTGGGACTGGTAAATGTTACCAGTTCCTATAAGTTTAATTCGATTTTGATTGTTTGATCACGGTTCAGAGATGGTTCTATTAGGGCATGTAAAGTCATCATTTGATCAGGAGTTAGGACCATTACCTCACAGCCTATAGGTTATAATCAATTAAAATGGATACGAGTCTAATCCGCTGTTTGATGCGATTTAATTATGATCTGGACATGGACTTTGGATCCAAGTAGAATATAGAGGGGGGACATACATAACCGATCATTATACACGGGTCACAAGTACCTACGAGCTGTCTCTCACCTTTATCGCGTCGGCACTTGGTCTTGGCCAGATCGAAGACAAGGTTCCTTTCCTCATCGTCTCCTCCCCTCTTTGAAGGACAGCCTCTTCTTTACCGAGTACCAACATCGATGCCTTGATTAAAACAAGTTTCCTATCATAACAAATCGAAATAATTTTCTGAATAAAGTTTTGTTCAAAACTCTCCTACCTTCCAATGCCAAATCTTCTCTCTATCAGAACTCTAAAGTCTGGCAGTAATGCTACACTTACCATCTATTTATACTCTCACTTGTACCATTTTTTTAATTGAGGTATGATCTGTGTAGATCTCATCTCTATTGGAGAAATATACAAATGGTAGCATAAATAGTGTTCAAAAAATATTTTTTATTATAATTTAGTGTTCAAAAAATTACAACTGTGTTTCAATCTTAGTGTCCAAGGACTTATCGACATAAAATGTTACATTATTGCAACCTAACAAGCCCGTATCAACATAAAATGTTACAATATTAAAAACAATAAAACATATGTTACTTTATTATTGAACAAAATCTGAAATTGTGTAATGAGTACCTAATTATTATCCGAATAAACATGGAAAAAAAATTAATTACAAGTTAACAAAAAAGAATCAAATTACCTACATGGTGCTAAACTGCCTTGCCGACAGTGGCAGTAATTGCTCAAACTTTGTGCTTTTATTTTCCGATTACGCAATGGTGGTGAAATCGAATTTAAAAGAGAAGGAAAACCACACAAAAATTATGTGCCACACCACACATTTGTGTCGCAGCATCGTACACGTGGC